CTTAGCCAGAGTATAAATCTATAATGACTGAAGCAGAAACTAAAAATGGATGCCTCTGATTTTTTTTTAGTCAAAAATGAATCAGATATAAAAACCATCACAAGGTTTTGGGCAGTATTACGGTGAATGAAGAGCACGTGTAACAGAACTGAGAAGTGTGCAGGCTGGGCGCTCACACCCAGAGTGTGCGACTGCACAGGTTTCTCAAGCAGGACTCACGCCAAGCCTAGGACTCACAGGCGCCTATGGCAGACAGAAAAGGGCACGAAGATGGAAAGGAATTGGAATGTTTGAGAGCTGTGATGTGTGTGTGTGGGGAGGGAATCAGGACACCTCTTCTTCCACCATGGGGGTCCTAGGAACTGAATTGAAGTTGTCAGGCTTGGGGACAAGTGTCTTTACCTACTGAGGCTTCACCAACCCCCTTTTCTTGCTAGACTCTAGAGCAGTGGTTCTCAATTTTCCTAATGCTTTCACCCCTTAATAGAGTTCATGTTGTAGCAACCCAACCATAAAATTACTTGGTTTCTACCTCATAACCGTAATTTTGCTACTGTTATGAAACATAATATAAAAATCTGATGTACTACACTGTGCGGGGGTCATGGCCTACAGGTTGAAAACCACTTCTCTCAAGCCTCCTGCATGTTTAGACAAGGACTCTGAGCCTCCTCCTGCCAGTCTGAGGCATCTTCCTAGGTTGCCTAGCCTACTCTTGAACATGATCATGATCCTTTTGCCCCAGCCTTCTCAGTAGCTGGGATTCCAGGTGTGTGCCTACAAACCTAGGTCCCTTTCCACAACTCTTTTCAAGGTACACATTTTATGCAGATTTTAATGAATAAAGCATTCAACATCCAAAAAGAGGAGTAGGGAAACAGAGAAACTAAGACCAAGAGAAGTCCAATACAACAAATGTTTGGTAGCTGTCCACCAGATACAATTAGGAGTCCTCACAATTTCTAGGTTGTAAAATAAGCAAATATTCCATATAGCAAATCTGGGGAAAGTTAACCTCTCTACATAGTGTCTATTACAAGACGGATAATATACTATAATCTTTACCTATAAAGTTGTCAATTAAAATGGATTCACAGCCAGGTGGAGTAGTATATGCCTTTAACCCTAGCACTTGGAAGACAGAAGCCAGACTGATCTACATAGCAGTTTTCAAGACAGCCAGGGCTACACAGAGATCCTGTTTCAATAATTACATAAATAAAATCATATTGCTTTTGTCAGTGTCCACCTAACAAGGAATAAAGCTAGGCGGTTATGAATAAAAGGATCTCATGACTGACTACGACAAAGACTGCCAGAATGAAAACCACTCACAGAGAACTACTTTTGTAGGCATAGCTGCTCAGTAAGTGCCTGCCCAAGCCTTGTTACTGATCCTTATAGCCATGGATTAGGGTTCAAATCAGTTCATGTTCTCTCTTCACTGAGCCTTTAAAAATCATTCCTTCTCCTATGCACAGTGGCCCACGAAGTTGACCAGTGCTCAGGAGGTGGAGGCAGGAGGACTGGAAGTTTGAGGCCTTGCAATGATTGTCCTGTCTCAGTTTCCCGATTGCTAGGCTCAACAGCGTCCTCAGCCACAGCTGACTCAACATCCTTTAATCTTTCTACAATTACCAAGAAGGTATGCATGTCTCCAGGTCAATGTTCATTCCCAAATAAGCTCATGAATCTTCCATCAGTTTTTAGGTGGATATATTTACTGTTGTTCTGAACGTTAAAAGGAAGCTGTAATTTTAATTTTTAAAGATGAGAAAATGAGGATCAACCAGAGAAGATGTGGTTGATCTAAAAGACCTAACAGCCATTATAAAAAGCTGCTAAATCTCATTTATAAAAACATACAACAGTGACAATCAGGGAAAAGAGGGAACAGTGAAAATTGCAGAGAGTCCCAAGTTTCCTGCTTAAGTCTCACACTGTGAAGAGGGCACTAATAAACTTAGGCTGCTCTAACCTCATGTCACCGCAATCAGCCATCACTGAACTCCTCTAAAAGACATCGCAGTCTGTTTCTGCATCCTCACTAGAAAGGCACCAATACACTCAGGGCTCAACAGTGCTCAGTCTCTGACAGTGCCTTTAACAGCACAGTACAATAACTATGTACACAAAACCCTCTTCTCGGGCCTTCTAATTAGCCAGCCTCCGCAAGCGTGTTTCATCAGGCCCCTTGCTCCAGATTACCTCCTGAGCCTTGCTCTACACAATCATCTACTCCACAGGTTCTTTGCATTTTTCAACCTCAAAACAAAAAGAACCTTTTTAAGATCTCTGGCCCACCAAAACAATTTCCCTCTATTACTTCCAACCTCAATTACCTGCTTTTCCTAAGCTCTGTATTGGAGCCCACTCTATCGAAAGTGCTAAAGAGCCACACATTTGCCACTGCTATCACGTTTTTCTCTGGGTTTCAGTCTTAAGTTTTGTGCACCACTCTCTGGTGACTTTTAAAACTTTAAACCGCCCTCTGAATTACTTAACCCAACTTTCACCCAATGCTCATCTTACCCGACAGTTTACAGTCTCCGGAGCCAAACCACCTGCTGCGTACCTGTACAGGGTTGCCCCCTGTCTGCATCCGTGCTGTCCAGCACGGTAGCCGTTAGTGCCATAGAACTAGGTACATTCAACTTATGTTCTAAGGTTATGTTGAGCCGTAATTCAAGTGCTCAATCATTCAACAACCCCAAAGTGGCTAGTGATCACACTATCAGACTGGGAGAAAGGACATCTCCCAGTTGTCATCACCTAAGAAAGCTGTAAGATCTCTGTAATAGCCTCGTGTGCTTTGGGGGCCAGGTATGAACTACAAGAAAGTAATCCTGTCCCAAAGAAGGGTTTGGGGGAATGGAACCACACTGGGACAGCACTTGTCTATAGGCGTTTCCAGTCTTCTCCAATCAACCAATCAGTATTCTCTGAAGATTCACTGTGCACCAGGCACTGTTACAAGGCCCCACGATAGATCTCTCAAAACAAAGATGACTTCTTCTGCTTCTAGCTGGAATTAACAGGCAATAAAGTCTGGCAGGTTGTCAGTGGTGAGGGAACAGCTGCTCCACACTGTCACTCTCAGAAGTGCCTTTAATCTTTTAGTTACCTCAACTCAAGCAAAATCAGCATTTGTGGTTTCAACACAGAAAATTTTTCTTAAATATAGACTTTAAGCTCAGGGTTAGAAGAAAGAGAGACACTCAGAAAGATAAACACAACTTCTTACCCTAAGATCTAACCAAGTGTGGGCATGTGCTCAAATGAGAGTAGGAAAAAAGCAAGACATTCCAAGCTGAGATCCGGGTTCCTCAAGGGAGGGTCACAACTGCTTGGCATTAGTTTCACAGATCATTTCGGTCATTCTCAAGTTACATCTTAAAAGTAAAGGTGGCTGCCAAGAAACTTTTTTCCCCACTCTCTCCCACCACCCTCTCTCTGGACAGTAGGTGTCTTGGATGGAATTATAATTTGACAATAAAAAAACAGAAGCTATTAAGGGCCAGGCAGTGGTGGCGTATACCTCTAATCCCAGTGCTCAGGAGGCAGAGGCAGGTGGATCTCTGTGTTCAGGATGCTTAGGTTCTAAATGTTGGCCTCCGGTTTCTGCTAGATTTCTACACTTAGATCTTTCAAGTATATCATTATTTTCAAGGAGTTCTTTTTGCTGGTCACCAAACCCAGAGTTTAACCAGACTGGGCAACTTAGCAAGACTCGGAGGTACAGTGATAAACCAGCCTGCCTCCACCTTAGGCTTGAAAGATATCCTACAGTGTTCATGATTAAATTTGTTTCTCAAGGACTGGGCTACACCCTACCTCTAACCTTAACTATGAATGGTTCTAAACTGCCTGTTCCAGGAAACTGCAACCATGCCTTTGTTTCAAAAGGGTATTATTGACCACCTCGCAGCCACGTCTTGTTTTTCATTTGGAAACTCTCCTTTCCTGCGATATAAAAACTCTTTATCTTCCCCATGTTCATCCTGATCTCTTGAACCCCGCCTTTAGTGAGAGACAGACTGTGTATACGAATAAAAGCAAAACTTGCTTTAGGTGGCGCACGCCTGTAATCCCAGTGCTCGGGGAGGCAAAGGCAGGCAGATCTGTGAGTTCAAGGCCAGCCTCTCCACAAAGCGAGTCCAGGAGTCAAGGCTACACAGAGAAACCCTGTCTCGAACCCCCCACACCCCCGCAAAGAAGCTTGCTTTAATTAAGCTGGCCATGATTTGGATCAGTGGTCTTTGTCCTTGAATCTATGATTAACAATAGCTTAGTGGTAGAGCTTGCCTTCCATGCACACGTGCATGAACCACAATAACAATAAATAAAAATACTTGTCAATCCATCCTTAGAATTATTTCCCTTTGAAGCTGGGCTCAGCAATTCTAAAAAGTATATTTAGTATTTATAGTTGTGAGAGCTGTTCTCCCATTTTCACACTACGCCAGCGTATCAATGCTTAACTAAGTGAGGCGCTGCTAGAGACTAAAATTCTGGGTTCTATCCCTTCCCAGCATCTTGGTTTCTTCTTCTAAAGGAAGGTTTGCAAGCCATTCAGTGGCCACGGGGCGGAAGACTATTTATGAAGTAGCTGAAAGAGGGCGGATCGTGGGATAAGATGGTAAGATAAGCTTCAGTAGAGACAGAAAGCGCTCCACTCCTCTCCATCTTCCTGGAAGTAGCCGAGACTTACCTGAAGCACTACCCGCTCACGCCTTGTGGTTCTCCACTCCTGAACAAGGAACACGCTTCGCGCGCGCCACCTACTTCTTCCGGGTTTTCTGAAAAACTAGTTCCGGATCAGGAAGTACGAAGTACAGTCATCCTTCCTCTTGTCAAACCATAGAGCCCGAACTGATAAAGCGGAACTGAAATCCCGCGAGGATCCTCCCGATTTGCCAAAAGGAGGGTGAAACGTTTCTCTTCTGGAGGCGGGCACCTCGGGGGGGGGGGGGGGGGAGGAAGCTGGACCGGAAGTGACGCGAGAAGTTCCGGTTGGCTGGAGCCCAGCGGCGGGTGTGAGAGTCGGTGCTGAGAGCCGCTTCCAGGATCCTGAGATCCGAAGAAGCCGGGGTCTGAGCGGGTAGGTAGGCGAAAGCGGGGAGTCGGGAGCGCAAGCCGAGACTCTCCACGGCTCGGCTTCTTCCGCGGCTCTCTCACTTGAATGGTGCAGATACAGAACACGCTGGTTTCCACTTGAGGAGTGTTTCAGGTCACTGCTGAGTGGCTGTGTCAGCTGGCGGTAGCCAGGGTATATGGGACACCTCTCCACGGTTGATTACCGGGACATTGAATGCAGACACTCCCGACCGTTCCTTCCAGACTTGGAAGCCGTCCTTGGCTTCTACAGAGAACCCTACTCCCGGGGTGTCCAGAACCTTGATTTAAATGAAAAAGGTCTTTGCAGCTGATGACCGAGTTGCTTCTCAGGACCTTTCAGTGTGGCGTCTCTCCTCTCCAGCCTCTAGCGCATTATGCCTAATGTGTTTTTAAGAAATGCAGGCATGCGGGTGTCCTGACAGCACAGAGTAGTCATCTCTCAGAGTCCTTCCTGTGGACCTTCTCCTCAGCTCTTCCTCCAGCTGTCACATGAAAGAGGGCTCTCTGCTTTTTCCAAACCCCTAATCCCCAACATTTGTGTTTTACTGCAGTGGAAGTACTTGGAGCAAGAGAGAGCACGGAGGTTGACTTAAAAATCTTTACAATTCCAAAAAGAGTGTATGGCCTTGTGTTAGGCAGCTAGCTAGGTTACTTTTGACCTCCAGTTGGTTTTACGTAGCCATTTTTTGCTTTTCTTGTACTCCATAAAAAAAAAAAAAAAAAATCTAAATGCATAAATTGGTGCTGGGTATGTATATTGACAATGTAATTTCTTATCTTGACTTTCAGTTCTTCCTTGATGTTTGTGAGACATTTTGTAGACAGACTGATCATTTAGAGAAGCTTTACCTGTGTTTCTCTTGGCATAATGAAGAATTTAATATTCCAACTGTTTTATTTTTTTCGAGACAGAGTTTTTCTGCGTAGCCCTGGGCGTCCTGGAGCTCACTCTGTAGAGCAGGCTGTTTTGAACTCAGAGATCCACCTGCCTCCCAAGTGCTGGGCCAGGCTATATTCCAACTGTTAGTATCTATGAATTGTGTTATCATTGGGTCTGATTTTAGGGGAGAAACTTATTTACTAGGCAGTAGTTTTGTGTATACAAGGTTACATTTTTAATTCCTTTGGGAGAAAGATGCTGGTATACCAAACAAATATGACCAGTTTGTATAGGTGCAAAATGATTCCAAAGTGGTAATTTCTCCTGTTTAACTTATTTGCCTGTTATTTTAAAACACAGATGCATTTTTAAGGGTTGTATCCTTCTTAGATACATTTAACAATACAGTTAAATCACTGAGGCCTACAATCCAGAAGAAAATATGTCTATAAACACATATCTAGCAAATGGTTTGATGCTGTTTATCAGTTTACATTCAGCTAGCGTAATCTGTTCTCATGTCCTTATTTTTGAGGTAGCAAATTGTTTTACACTTGTCTTGAAATGAGATGACAGGATTTTTTGATAAGTGGAATTGTAAGTCTGATATATCATAAATTTGAAAACTAATTAATTTACTTAGTGATTACAGAACTGCCAAGTTCTTTTAATCTTTTCTCTGTCTCTTTTTATTTTTTGTTGTTGTATTTGAGACAGGGCATTACTATGTAGCCCTGGCTGTCCTGGGATTCACAAAGAACCTGCGTCTGCCTCTAAGCGCTGGGACTAAAGGCGTGGGTGACCGCCCCTGGCCAGATGTTTTTTTTTATGTTCTGCTTGTTATGTTATCTTTTGTTTGTTTGTTTTTACTTTGCAAAGGGCTTTCTAACTTTGGCTCAAGTCACCACTTTTTTGGCTTTTGAAAGTCGTTATATTTTATTTTACTTTTGAGACAAGGTCTTATTCTGTAGCTCTGGATGGCCTCAAACTCACAGAGTCCTGAGACTAAAGGCCACTACACCCAGACAGATATTTAATCTTAAATTAGATAACCTGGATTAAAGTCTGAACTGCAACACTTACTGAGTAAGTGGCAAGTTGCCCAGTATTCAAAGTTTCTCCGGATTGTGTTGATAAAAGGACTCACTGTTTTATATGACTGTTGTGTTTGGTGAGATGGTACTTGTGAAATCACTGTGAAAGTGCAACTATGGTGTTTTTACTCAGAGAACTAGAAATGCATAAGTATAGAATATGTTACTTTGAATTATTTCAAAATTTGATGATTTATAATCATGTCTTTACTAATCTGCATGTGCTATCACCCATATTTATAATGATGTTCTTTGCCCTACTTTTGAACACAAGAAAGCCAGCTATGAGTGGCTTGAAACTAGTCACCATGGTTAATAAGAGTGGCGGGAAGCAGAGCTTTGCATTTGAGAATTGAAAGCTGACCTTTCTTGGTTATCATGTAGTGTCAGCTGAGAACTCCGGGTACAGAAAACACTGAAGTTTTTGCTGCTTATGTATAATTGTACATATTACCACGTATAATAATAACTAATCGTTAGAAGTAGCCTGCCTTTGCTTGTATTTAGTAAGAATCCTTATTGTTTACTGAAGCCAATATTTAGAATTGCAGTTAACTCTTAGGAATGCATGGTTAGCACTTTCTCATTTGATAGAGGGGAAGATTAGGACCTAGAAACAATCAGTAATTGGCTGTCCTAAGGACGTCTAGTGTACGTACGTAATGCCAGACCCTCATCTAGACTTGATTTCCTAAGTGTTCTTTTCATTCTTCTGGGGTTGTCCTCAGGCAGCTGATAGCTTTGGCAATTGTCTGCTTTGCGTAACACTGTTTTCTTTTATGTGTGAAAAGGGGATGTGTGTTTGTGATTCCCTCCCCACTTTGTTTCTTTAATCTTGTAAATTGTAGAGAAACAAACTGCTCAGTGAGATTAACAGGGAAAGTGAGTGAGGGGAAGCCTGTGGTCACAGTGTTTGGAAGACTGAGGTAGGAAGACATTGAGTTCAAAGCCAGTCTGGGACGGACTACATAGTAAGGCACTGTCACAGGTCAAATATTTAAAGTGTTCAGTAGGATGTAGTAAGGAAAGAAAAATATTTATATTTTCCTGAATATTCTCAGTTCACAATTATATCAGGCGTTGTGAAATGTCATCATGAAGTGGAAATGCCAGAAGCCGTGTAACATCTCTTATACTGAGTGTTGCTAATGCGTAGGAGAAAGCTGAATTAATTTTTTTCTTCCTGATATAAAGAACTTTCTGAAGTGCTGGAACACTGATTTCTATTTTATTAATTTTCATCTACAGGGTCTTTTCTCTAACTGTCGTTCTAGGTAATTAGCCATGATTGAAGAATAAAGGCTCTGTTTTTAACCTTAATTCCACTGGCCTCACGGAACCCGTTTGGTGTCTCCTCTGCTGGGGATGATAGTGGTGGTGCAGCTGTCATCTGTAATCTCCCTAACTGCTGCTTGTGAATTTTTTTTTCATTTGGAAATTAACTTTGTAGATTAGCAAACCTGAGAAACCAGAAGCAGTGAAGCAATCATAACTTCATTGTGGTTCTGATAGTTGATAATCTGCTTTCACAGAGATGTGCAGATATTTTTTAGAGTAAACGTGTTGGAGGGTTGGTGCTAGGAATTGAACCCAGAGCCTTGTGCCAACTATTGTAGGCTCAACTGCTGGCTAAACTCCAACACCTAGAGAATTTTTTTTGTTTGTTTAAAGGTTTTGTTTTGTTTTGTTTGTTGTTATTGGTTGTTTTTGTTGTTGTTTATGAACGGCTTTTTCTTCGCTAGTCTGGAACTCATTATATAGAGCAGTCTGGCCTGAAACTTACAGACTTACAGACTTGCCTGCCTCTGGACGCTGGAGCGAAAGATGTGAGTTATCACTCCCTACTAGAATAAACTTTTAAAGACTGTTGTCTCTAGAAACTCTATTCTGTTTAGGATGCTAACTTTGGATAGAGTTTGCTGACCCGAAGTTATGGAATATATAAATCTTTATATAAAGCTGATTTTAAAATCTACTCCTTGAGGGACTGGAGAGATGGCTGTTCTTCCAGAGGACCGGAGTTCAATTCCCAGCACACACATGGCAGCTCACAACTGTCTGTAACTCCAGACCCAGGGGATCCAACACTCTTACACAGGCATACATGCAGGCAAAACACCAGTGCACATAAACTAAAAATAAATCATTAAAAAATGTGCTCCTTGAATATTTGGACAGGTGAAGTTTAGTCATATTTAAATTAAGCAGTGACAATCCCTTGAGCAATTTTACTCCTGCTTATCTATCTGCCTATAATTACTGCAGTTGTTAGTGTCCCCTGACTCTTCCGTAGATTGTTGGGGTGTTTTCTCTTCTTTGTGGGCTTCTTTCAGGGTAACTGTAGTCTTCATCGTTTATCTGGAAGGACTACTCCAATAATGTAAAGAATGGGAGTTGAGGTTCAAGCATGGTGGTGCCCACCTTTATTTTATCCCAGCTCTTGGAAGGCAGAGGCAGGTAGATCTCTTGAGTTGAAGGCCAGTTTGGTCTACAGAGTGAGTCAGAAGTATACGGAGAAACCTTGTCTGGGGGGAAAAAAGAAGACTGGGACTTGAAGCCTTGGTTCAAATTCCATCACCATTACCACGACTCAGTCGGTTGCTTAACCTCCTGTTATCTTAGTTTCTTGCAAGGGTGTGACCACAGTACCCTCGCTGTTAAAGGTCAGTGAGTAAATTCAAGGAGAGCACTGGTTGGCCGGGAGTATGGTTGCCGTCACCTGGTGGCTTATGAGCTGCTCCTGAGAACTCTTTCCCAGCCTTCTTTGAAAAACTTATCACTATGTTAGTGCTCACTTGGCTGCCATGTATTTATTAATGCAGTGTCAGTAAGTAAATATCTTGGTGTTGATCATTTTTTGTGAATATTTTTACAGCATATGTGCAATTCTTATTGAAAAGAACCACTTTTGTAGCTATTCTCTTGTACTTTTTATATTATTGTTGACAGCTTTCTTCTGGTTGGTTGGTTGGTTGGTTGGTTTTGGTTTTTTGAGACGGGGTTTCCCTG